GAGTTCCAGGAAAGGCGCAAAGCTACACAGAGAAACCCTGTCTTGAAAAACCAAAAAAGAAAAAAAAAAAAGATTATCTTTTATTAATTTTTTGACAATTTTATACATAAAATGATGCATTTTGATCACATTCACCCCAACTCCCTTTACCAGTTACCCAGACATGCTCCCCGCTTCATATCATCTCTCTTTTTTTTTTTTTTTTTTTTTGTTGTAAGCTGCCTGTAGGAATGTTGACATATCTTATTGGCTTGATCTTGTGCAGATAATCATAGCTGCAAAGAGTACAATGTCGAGTCTAAAAGACAGCAGTCCATAGACTCTCTCCCCATCTTGCGGCTCATTCAGCCTTTCGGCCCTCTCTTCTGGGGTGGTCCCTGAGCCTAGGGAGTAGGCAGGTTACAATAGATGTCCCATTTAGGACTTAGTACTCAGTCGTCACTTATGCTCAGTACTTTGACCAGCTAATAGTCTCTGCACTAACTGCTAACCACTGCAGAAAGAAACTTCTCTGGCCAAGGATGAGGGCAGCACTAACCTAGGTGTATAAACATAAATGTTTAGAAGGCGGTTTGACAGTGTGTCCATTTAGCAAGATATCACTAATGGGTTCTCCACTAGGGCCTATGACTTTTAACCAGATTTACAGTGCTGGGCATGAATTATCTCCTGTGAATCAGGCTGAAATCCAATCCAAAAGCAGTTATTACTCCCTGTGATGGTTTGAATAAGAATAGCCTTGATAGGCTCATATATTTGAATGCTTAGTCATTAGGAAGTGGCACTGCCTGAGAAGGATCAGGAGGTGCGGCCTTGTTGGAGGAAGTGTGTCACTAGGGGTGGACTTTGAGGTTTCAAAAGCCCGAGTCAGGCCCAGTGTCTTTCTCCTCCTGCTGCCTGCAGATCCAGATGTAGAACTCTCAGCTACTTCTCCAGCACCATGTCTGCCTGCATGCCACCCTGCTACCCACCATGATGACAGTGGACTGACCCTCTGAAACTGTAAGCAAGCCCCAATTAAATGCTTTCTTTTATAAGAGTTACCATGGTCATGGTGTCTCTTCACAGCAATAGAACAGTAACTAAAACTCCCCCATGATCTTTGTGCCATCATTGTACATGTGAGCACATCTTGCCTGGCTGGTCAGGGTCTTAATTTTCTATTGCTGTGCTAAGATATCATGGACAAGGCAATATAGAGAGGAGTTATTTATTGGAGGCTTACTTACAGTTTCAGAAAGTTAACGTCCATGACCAGCATGTGAGTATGGCAGCAGGCCGGCAGGTATGATCTGGAATAGTATCACAGAGCTCACATCTTGAGACATAACCACAAGGCAGAGAAAGCTAACTGGGAATGGTATGGGCTTTTAAAACCTCGAAGCCCACCACCCCCAGTGACATACCTTCTCCAACAAAGACACGCCTCCTAATCCTTCCCAAACAATCCCATCAACTGGGGACCAAGCATTCAAATCTGTGCGCCTATAGGGGCCATTCTCATCCAAGCCACCAGAGTCAGTATTTGCACAGCACACAGTGTTTGCAGCTGGGTAATACCATTGATGGATTTTCTCTCCCAGTGGCCTGCATAGCACTTTCAAACACTATGAAATCTAGCCTGCAGGGAGAAAATTTTCAGGTTAGTTCCCGCTTGTTTTCTCTATGTCCTGCGACCAGAATGTGTTCTGTCTAGTAGAGTCTTAACCATTTAGTTCCGGTGGGCAGCCAGGAGCAATGGCAATGGCCTGTGTTGTTTTGTGGGGGGACCTGATAATAACTCACAGGAGGGTATCCCATGACTGGCACTAAGATTTTCATTTACTTACCCATGTCTTCTTGGGAAAACATTGTCCACCCATGCAGGGTACTTGTGTGCAGGATAGTGGGGTATTGCTGTGACAGACCTCACCATGTTTCATGGAGGATTGTGTAAGGACTTTGGAACTTTGTGCAAGAAAAGCCATTCAGTGTTCAGTGCTTGGTGAGCTCTTCTCTAGGAGCTTGGAAGATAAGAATGTTGAGGGCAAGGCAGAAGATAGAGGCCTGGCTTGTGAAGTTTCAGAGGTAAGTTTAAAGACTATCATAGCCATTTGCTTTTTTGAATTAAGATTCTGTCATTCTGAGCAGCTGGAGCTGAAGAGTCAGCCATGGAATCGGGTGGTGGTGGTGCAGGCCTTTAATCCCAGCACTCGGGAGACAGAAGGAGGTGGATCTCTGAGTTTGAGGCCAACCTAGTCTACAGAGCGAGCATGCAGGCAGACATAGTGCTGGAGTTCATCATCAAAAGTAGTGAGGGCAGGAACTAAAGCAGGGCAGGAAAAGTAGCCGAAAGTGCTATGTGTTGATCAGAAGGCAACAGGAACTGGTCTCCAACACTGGGCGATGTCTTGAGCATAGGAAACCTCAAAGCCCACCCCCCAACACACACAGTGACATGTTTCCTCTAGCAAGGCTATACTCACGACAACAAAGCAACACCTCCTCACAGTGCCACCCACTATGAGTTTATGGAGGTAAATTCAATTCAAACTACTACAGAAACCTTTGCTTTACTGGGACAATTGATGCTGGTTAGCTGGAGCTAAGAAATTAACAGTGATTAAGAAAAGACCAGCATCATTGAGATGAAATCTTCTGGGAAGTGTTTCCTTGGGGTCAGCACACAGAAGCTGTGTGCCAGAAGCAGCCAAAGTTGTACCTTGTGCTGGCAGCTGATTTGGAAATGTAAACATCACCCAGGTGGTACTGGTTTTGAAGGCATGAAGGGGTCATGGAGAGCAGCTGAGGCTTGGCACTGTGAGAGGTCAGGAGAGGCCGTTGGTGAAGGTGTGGCCTCAGAGGCAGTTGAAAACCCAGAACCAAGGAGTCATGTAAAGAAGTCGAGGCTTCACTCCACAAAGAGAGCCTGGGAGGCTATTGGCGAAAGTGCAGCCCTAACCCTAATCCTAACCCTAACACATTAGTTAATTTTTTCCATTGCCATGACAAAATCCCCTGACAAGTGCAACTAAAGGGAGAAAAGATTTATTCTGGCTCACAGCTCAGGATTACAGTCCACCATGGTGGAAAACTCACCGCATCAGGAACTTGAAGCATTTGGTCACATTATGCATGCAGCCAAGAAGTAGAGAAGGGTGAATACTGGTCTTCAGCTCGCTTTCTCCTTTCTATATGCTGATTAATCAAGATAATCCCCCACATGTGGTGATGCAATATTATTAAAATATCTCTTACATTCTAAGAGACTGGAACTTTTGCTGGACCTCACAGCCAGAGCTAATAAGTGACCTCACACCTTGAGGCCACTTAAGACTGCTATCCTATTGTGTACTCAGCCTGTTTAACCTGTCTTTAAGAGAATAATATAACAACCAACTTTACTTGCCTTGGATTTCCCATGTTATCAACTTTTACAATTAAGTTAATGCATAGCTGTAGCCTTAAATCCTTAGTTTTAGCTCAGAGTTCTTTAGTTTATAATATAAACTTGATTTCTTACATTATTTAAGTCTTTGGCAGGGCACTATCCTACAGGCTCTTCAGAGTACCATTGTTTGGCCCTAAAATTAGACTTGAGAGAAGAGGTACCCCAAAGAATTTTCTAGAGTTCTTGCTCATGGCATACAGTATCAACTTATTCCTTGGAATTGGGACCATTCATTCTGACCACAAGTTCTACAGTATGAAGAGCCTAAAATGGCCAAGAGGCAAATTTACCAGCAATCATGGCCTTATTCCACAGTAGAAGCATCTCTCCATTGAGTGCTATAACTTCAGACTTACCAAGGCCTAGAATTGGGGATAGGAAGCAAAAGTAGCCTAAGTGGATTGTTATGTATATAATGGGGGACAGTGAGATGGCTCAGCAGGTTAAGGTAGTTACTGCCAAGCCTGATGACCTGAGTGGACCCACATGTGTGGGAGAAGAGAACTGACTCCTATAGGTTGTTCTCTGGCCTCCACAAGCACCAAGTACACCATAGTGCACACACACACACACACACACACACACACACACACTCACTCTCTCTCTCTCTCTCTCTCTCTCTCTCTGTGTGTGTGTGTGTGTACACATACATATATATGTATGTACATATATATTTTTTCATATATAGGAGGAAGCATTCTCATAGCTCCTGTGCTGACTAGGTTTATGTTAACTTGACACACTAAAGTCATCTGAGAGGAGAGAACCTCAATTGAGAAAATGCCTCCATAAGACTGGGCTGTAGGCAAGCCTGTAGGGCATTTTCTTAATTAGTGATTGATAGGGAGGGCCCAGCTCATTGTGGGTGCCACTCCTGGGCTGGTGGTCCTGGCTGCTATAAGAAAGCAGGCTGAGCAAGCCATGATGAGCAAGTCAGTTAGCAGCACCTCTCCATGACCTCGGCATCAGCTCCTCCTCCAGGTTCCTGCCCTGTTCGAGTTCCTGCCCTGGCTTCCCTCAATGGACTGTGTCTCTGGATCTGTAAGCCAAATAAACCCTTTCTTCTCTGACTTGCTTTTGCTCATGGTGTTTCATCATAGCAATAGTAACAGTAACGAAGAAAACAGCTCCTCCACTCTTGGTTCCTATCACTGCATATGTATTTTGATCATTAAAAATTGATGAGCTTTTTTTTGTCCTTTGGCTCAGGGCACATGGTGTCTCCTCTATGACAGCTCCCCTAACTTAGCCTTTAGATCATTCCATCATAATCGCAAGTCTGCATTCTTCTGGATGAGGGAACATACATAAGATCTGTGAGCTACAAGTATGTGAGCTCACTGCCATTCTTCCTTTCCTATAATATTACTTTTTTGGAGGTAGTGCTATATAGGATAGCATGGTAACAAACAGAATATCCATAAATAAGTACAAATTTGTGTCTACACTATGAATTTAATCCTTTGAAAGCAAATTTCTGCCATCTTCATGACAAAACTGGTCCCATGCAATGAATCTTCCTCCAGTACATACTGACTGATTCCTATCTCAGAAGCATTACCTTAGTTGCTATGTACTGTTGACTCTGGTTGTTGAATATTCAAGCATATAGAATTGATAATAGGCATGTCCACCTTGGAGAGAGGAGATCCATATGTTTGTCACTATATATAGCCTTCATCCTGACCACCATGACAATTCTGTACTTGAATTAACCATGGCAGCATAGAATAGAGGCTGATTGACATTGTGCTGTGGGTGTTCTTGTCTTCTAGTTGAGTGGCTGTACCAGGAAATTCTAGTTGGTTTTAATAATAAAAACCTGGAGCCAGATATCAGGGTAAATGCTGAAAGATCAGAGAGACAAAGGAACAAGCTACAGCTACCTCTTACAACTACTCATCAGTCTGAAAGAGACTGAGCTCCTGTCTCCTCCTGCGTTATAGTCCTCTGTCTGTCAAGCCATATCACTTTCTGTCTCCACCTCCCTAATACTCGGATTAAAGGACTGTGCCTCCTAAGTACTGGAATCAAAGGCATGAGATCCTAAACGCTGGGATTAAGGGTGTGTGCCACCACTGCCTGGCTTCTATGGTTAACTAGTGAATAGCTCCACGATCTGATCTCTAGTCAAGGTTTATTTGTTAGAGCACAAACAAGATATCATATTTCACCTTTTTTTGTCTAAAATATTATAACTAATATAAGAAAAACTATATACAATAAATACAATAACTATATACAATATATACAGGCAATAAATACATCAACAATGTCTAGTCCATTAGCAATTGACAAATTCAAAGAAAATACTTCATATCTATTCTATCTTGGTGAGTCCAAAAGGTCATACCTAATTCACTTTCTATTCTAACTTTGCATAACCAAAACTATATTTTAATGTCTCTCAACCTTATACACTTTACACCTCTTTAGTGAATTTCTTTTCTGAATCTGGTAACAAGGAAAACTATAACTCTAAAGTCTTCAACTCCATCAGAGATCAGGAAGGGAATAATATTATCTGAGTTAGCAGGAATGCAAGCAAGCAACTTCGAAAAAAATGTGAGAAATGACAGAAATAGCTAGATGACTGGACAGTCACCCAAGATTCCTCTGCAATGTTGGGGCATCCATCTTTGGCCTACAGCCCTGGCATATCTGACAGACTTTTTGGTGAAGCAGGATCTTCTGAAGGGCTGTCCTACCTTGTCTTGGCAAAGTTTGGAAGTCACTTTCTTTTGTGTCCTGCTTGTCTAATTTGGACAACATACTGTCCCTTTGAGTTACTTCCTGCAGGTAGTGGAGTTTGTATGAAGAACAAGTAGGACATTTCCTTATAATTTCCTTGGCTTGTTGCCAAGTAATAGAATAATCCTTTTTCAAACCCTTGCTATTGACATTGTGTTTTTTATGAAATTCTGAGGCCTTGAGCACATTTCCTATCAACAATTGATCAGTTTCATCATTGTCTTGTTCTAGAGGGCCTGGCAGACCCGGATGGGATTGGATGTGTGTTATATATATGGGATTATTCCTATTCCTGATTATATCTTGTAACTGAATAAACAACAAAGTTAATTCTGACTCATCAGAAATCAATTCAGCAGTTTCAATATGTAAAACAACTCTTTCTACATACTGAGAGAGAGTAACTATGTTAAGAGTTTCTGTAAAATCTGTTAATACCATCAGAATAGCATATAATTCTGACTTTTGGACAGAATCATAAGGGCTTTGAGCCACTTTACTTAAATGTCCTGATTTATAACCTGCCTATCCTGATTTTTTTGGATCAGTATAAAATGTAGCGACTCCAGAAATTGGAGTTCCCTGTACAATATGAGGAAGAATCTAATCTAATCTAATCTAATCTAATCTTTATAAATTTAATTCTCTCACTTTGGGGATATTTGTTGTTAATCTCTCCCAAAATATTACTGCAAGTTCTTTGCCAAGGTTCACTTTCTACCATAATTTGTCAGTTTCATCATTAGTGAAAGGTACTACATTCTCTGCTGGGTCTATTCCTGATAATTGACAAAATGTCAATATTCCTTTTAGAATCAACTCAGAGACCTTTTCCACATAAGTTTTTAATTTTTTATTCTGTTTATGTGGTAAAAAGATCCATTCTAAAATAATATCTTCCCTCTGCATTAATATTCCTGTAGGAGAATGTGTAGAGTGTAAAATAACCAGTTTTTTTTCCACCAAGGCTAATTCTCTCTCTGCTTCAGTGATAATTCTCTTGGACTATTTAAGTACGTATCACCTTATAAGGTTTGAAACAAATTACTAAGTTCTGTATTTTTTACTCTAATAGTGAGCCATAGACAATGGGCAATGTCTCCTAGAAATCTTTGAAAGTAATTAAGAGTCTGCAATTGATCTCTTCTAATTTGCACCTTTTGGGGTCTAATTTTTGTGGACCTATTTTATATCCCAAGTAATTAGTAGGATCTCCTCTTTATATATTTTTTCAGGAGCAATTTGTAATCCCCAACAAGGAAAAATTTTCTTTACTTCTTCTAAATTCTTTCTAAGGTATCTACATTTGAATCAGCTAGTAAGATGTTGTCCATGTAATGGTAAACTATAGATTGAGGAAATGGCTTACGTATTATTTCCAATGGCTATCATACAAAATATTGGTATAGGGTGGGGCTGTTCAACATTGCCTGTGGGAAAGTCTTCCATTGATATCTCTTAACAGGCTTCGAGTTATTATAAGTAGGCACTATAAAGGCAAATTTTCTGTCTTTTTACTGTAAAGGTATAATGAAGAAACAGTCTTTTAAATCAATAACTATAAGAGGCCCCTTTAGGTAACAGAGAAGGTAAAGGAATTCCATACTGTAGAGAGCCCAATGGCTGAATCACCTTATTAACAGCTCTTAGCTCTGTTACCATTGTCCATTTTCCAGATTTCTTTTTAATAACAAATACAGGAGAATTCCAAGGGCTGGTTGATTCTTCAATATGCTGAGCATTTAGCAGCTTCTGTACCAGCTGTTCTAAAGCCTGCAGTTTCTCTGTTGTTAAAGGCCATTGCTGAACCCATACAGGCTTGTCTGTTAACCATTTTAAAGGTAGGGCTGTTGGTTTCTTTGAAAGATCAGCAGCTGTTGTGCCCTGTTCTTGTACAAACTGAGTGGTTGGTGACTGTTCTTTATAATACCTTCTAATATTTTTCCCAGAAACATCCATTAATTTATGCTTTGTTTCTGAGGTTGAAGGAATGTTAATCTGGGTCTTCCATTGCTGTAATAAATCACATCTCCATAAATTCATTGCCATGTTAGCCATATATGGCTTTAATTTTCCTCTTTGGCCCTATACAGTCGACCCATCTTGTGCTACTTTACCTGAGATAATATTCCAATCCCTAAAAGCTGAACATTTATCTCCTGAAGAGGCCAATTTGGATGCCAGGATTCTGGTGCAATTATTGTTACATCTGCCCCTGTGTCTACAAGACCTTCAATGACAATGTCATTTATTCGTATTTTTAATTTTGGTCTTTGTTCATTTATAGAAGTTTGCCAAAATATTGGCCTTATTGTTTATCCTGAATTTTTTGTTCTCTCTTCTATAGCTGTTCTATGATCCAGAGCAGTATGGTTTCTTATAATGGGCATTAAGTTCTTTAATTCCTCTGGGAAGTAGTTTCCTCCATGGTGACAGGAAATTATCCAACCAAATTTGATATGGGGACCTGCAAGAGCCCCCCCCAAGGTGTTTCCCGATGGCAAAGGGTTACCTTGGCTGTCCCTTGTTGTTCTACATTCATTAGTCCAATTCCTGCTTTTGCCATAACTTCTGCATAATCCAGAAGGGATGGGGCATTCTGTTGGGATTAGTCTTAGAAAAAAACATTGTTTCTAGGAACACCTGTTTACAATCTCTTTTTAGGTGACCTTGTTTACCACAGCTGAAACACCTGACATTTCAATTTTTCTTCAAACCTCTGGAAATCACCTCTCCTATCCAAGCATCATCATGATTATGAAATTTGATATTGACTGTATCTTGGATCCATTTCTCTGAGGGTGATGATCTTGCCTTTAATGGCCTGATTACCCTTTTGGATTGTCCATTAGCATTTTCAAAATCCAGAGATTCGATTATTATTTGTCTAGCTTTTGAATTTGGTATCATTCTATTTACTGCTGAAGTCAATCTCTGTAAAAAATCAGTGAAGGTTTCTTTGGGGCCCTGTATTACTTTAGTAAATGATTCAGTTTTATTTCCTAATACTTCAATTCTGTCCCAAGCATTCAAGGCTGCTTCACAGCATAAACCAAGGGTGTGGCCATCATATAGAGATTGCCTTTCTATATTGACATAATCTCCCTCTCCAAGAAGTTGGTCTTGGGAGATTTCAATACCTCTAGCCTTACTTCATTATTCAATGGTCTTAGCCTCATCTTTCCTCCAGGTCCTACATTGTAACTGAAGACCAGGCTCCATGACTGCTCTAACAAAGTCTCTTCAGTCTTGAGGGATAATTCTATTACAAGCTGACCACAAGTTTAACATCTGCTTTCATAAAAGGTGAATGCATGCCATATGAAACTATTGCTTCCTTGAATCTCCTCAAATCTAACATTTGCACAGGAGTCCATTCAGCCCTTATACAGCCCTGGGGATATCTATCATTTGGCAATTTCTGTAAGGTTATTGGATAAATTAAGGTTGGATATTTGAAAACCTTAGGCTGCTCCTCTCTAACCTTATAATTCAATGTTGAGATTGGTTCTCCTTTAAATTCCTCTATCTGGGTCTGAACATCTCTATGATCTGTCTTAATAAGTTTTTCTAAAACTTTCATCTTGGTACTTACATTAACCAACTTTTTTATAGATAAAACAAAAGTGAACAAACAGGTAATATTTATAATTGACATTATGTAAATCCCATCTAATTAATTATCTTCTCATTTAATTGGTCCATTTTCAAACCGTGCAGTGTATTATCATACAGAGACCTAACTCCCTCCATTGTAGTAGTGTTTCCCATTTTTTAATATGGGGGGAAAACTCTCTTTTTTTAACTAATTCCTCCCTTTAAGAATTACCTATTGTCTCACCAAATATGCCAACAATGACAATTCATATAACGATGAAGTGTGAGGATGACTGTTCTGCCTAGAACAATAGAAGCCCAAGTGGGTTTCAAGGCAGCTACCTAGTGTGGCAGCAGCCTGAGGAGTGGTCCAGGGATAGCCCACAACCCATTAGGAGAGAAGAAGCCAAAGATCCAGCCTTCTACACAGGGAAACATGCAAAAGTGGCTAACTCCTGTGGTTTGCTGCAGACAGGCTGCAACAGAAAAATCCCAACTCACTCAGAGGCTTGAGGAAAAGAAAGGAAAACCTTAGCAAGCAAAGTAGTGACTCTAACTGCATACAGCTCCATCCTGTGTTAGTGGCTGCAAAGCCACAGGCAAGTGGCTTTTTTGTGAATTTGTGCCCCAGAAGTTGAATGCCAGATGTAGCACAAATTCTAATTGGTTTTAATAATAAAAACCCAGAGCCAGATATCAGGGTAAATGCTGGAAGATCAGAGAGACAAAGGAGCAAGCCACAGCCACCTCTTACCTCGCCAACTCCTCAGCGAAAAGGGTGAGGTGCTGTCTCCTCCCGCCTTATATTCCTCTCTCCACCCAGACAGATCACTTCCTGTCTCCAGCTCCCTAGTGCTGGGATTAAAGGTGTGTGCCTCCCAAGTACTGGAATCAAAGGCATGAGATCCCAAGTGCTGGAATTAAAGTTGTGTGCCACCACTTCCTGGCTTCTATGGTTAACTCATGGCTAGCTCCACACTCTGATCTCCAGCCAAGCTTTATTCATTAGAACACAAACAAAATATCACCACAAACAACTTCTTTGCTGGATGCCCTTTGATGAACATGTACAAAGAATGCAAATATATTTATATATTTATATATCATGAAGTCTATCCCAGTGTTTCTCCTGGAATTCTTGTTTCTTTCTAGTATTCCAATCTTGTTCTTTTCATGTATTTGATAAGTGACTTGTCATTAGCCATGAATCAATCTAGACTTGCATACTAGACTATTTCCTTTCATAAATAGTAGGCAGCAGTTTTATTTCTAAAGTTCTGTCTGTGAGGGAATTTGCTTTCACCAGTGTCTGAGACCATCCCTGAGTTCCGGGAACATGAGTGAACGTTTTCAGACCGGTCTGTAAACCTGTTCTGAAATCACTTGAATGTGGAATTTACTTGTGGATTTGCTTTTACAATGGAATGCTGGTTTGCTCAATTTTAGATTTAGTAGGTCAAAACCATCTAGTATAAAACAAGCAGTTTATAACGGTGTAGCCATTTAGTATTCTGTGATCAAGAAGTCTCCACTGGTGCCTATTAAATAGTAATGCAGAGTTTGCTTTTCACTTAGAAAACCCTTATCAGCAGAAGCATATATGGCACTGCTCCACTGTAGCTCTCTTAGAAATCTCCCATGTAGCATCTTTACCATCACCTCTAATGCCATGCTTGTCCTTGGACTAAAGTCAAGTTTGACTCAAAGGTAGCAACCTAGCTAAGTATGGAAGCATATACCTGTAATCCCAGTACTGGTGAGCCAGAGGCAGGTAGACTACCATGAGTCCAAAGCCATCTTGATCTACAAAGTGATTTCAAGGGCAGCCAAGGCTATATTACAGGACTCTGTCTCAAACAAACAAAAATAATAAGGAGGGGGTGTGTAGAACCAGATGTAGTAGCCAATATCTGTCTTCTCAACATTCAAGAGTTGAGACAGGAGGATTTTGTCATGAGTTGCAGGCTAACCTGGGCTACAGCGTATCTCAAACAAAAACAAAAATAGCAAACCTACAATTTATTTAGTCATTTTAGGGTACCGTGAGATGGCTCAGAGGGTAAAACCACTTAGCACCCACCCTGCCAACCTGAGTTTGAACCCCAGAACCTGCATGGTAGAAGAAGAGAACCAGCTACCTTCCGTAATTTATCCTCTGACTTCTCCACACATGTCTTTTCTGTGTGTCTTCATGCCTGGTGTCTCTTCCTTTTGTACATATACATCAGTTTTGTTTGATTAGAACCCTGCCCCATGGCCTTATTTGACCTTGTTAAGGGCCTCATTTCTAAATACCTTTCATATTGAGAATTAAAGACTTCAACATATGAATGATGGTAGAAAGGAACACAGTTCATTTCATCATACATGGAAAACCAAACATTTTCTTTAAAATACAGACATTTGGTAAATATTTCAACAAAAGCTCAGGATAAACACAAAGTTCAGCGTCCACATTACTAGACTAGGTAGAGGAAGAGGTTGGAGGGAGACAGGAACAGAAAGCATGCTGCAAATTCTAAGAAAATTTCTGGCAATTTTGTTTTTCTTAAACTAAATGGAAGTTTAGTTTCATTTATTTAAATTGTATATAGCTGTCCATATATAAGTAGATGTATATATTTTTCTGTGTATAAAATATTGAGCTTAAATTTAAAAAGACACTAATATTCTCAAGGAAAATTATTTTTGTTGGAGTAGTTTACATATAACAGTTAATATGTTTAGATTTAAATATGCATACTTTTTTATTTTCTTTGTTTTTTTAAAACTTTTTTTCACCATCTGTGTCTAGTTTTATATTATAATGCCTTTGTTTTTTTTTAATTCTCTATTATCACATCTTTTCTTAAACGTGGTTCTATGAATGCTCCAGTGCTCCAGCCATTGCAAGTAATGTTTTGATATTGCTCATATATATCATTTACAAAATAATTTTCAATTCATCATGTATTCATTTTGTTTGTATATATGTTTTATCACAGCATTCTAGCAACAGCTAACTACTGCAGAATTTGGTACCAGGAGTGGGGTGTTGCTTGATAAACCCCATGACCTAAAGCAACTTGGAGCAGAAAGGATTTATTTCAGCTTACAGTTTATAGTCTATCATGAACAGAAATCAGAGCATCAACTCAAGGCAGGAATCTGGAGGCAGGAACTGAAGCAGAACCATAGAGGAATGCTGCTTACTGGCTTGCTATCCATGGCTTGTTCAGATTGCTTTCTTATTCCACCCATGGTCACCCACCCAGGTGTGGCACCTCTTCCATGTTGGGCTAGGCCCTCCCACATCAATCATTAACCAAGAAAATGCCCCATAGATTTTTGTGTGTGTGTGTGTGTGTACTGGCCCTCTGATGGAAGCAATTTTTCTCAATTTAGGTTCCTTCTTCCCAAATGACTATAGCTTGTGTCAAGTTGACAAAAAATTAATCAACACAAATGGCATAGATGAGATACTGATACAAACATGGCCTTTTAGAAAAGGTTGTTAGAGGCTCCAGAATTCAAGGCAATTCATAGGAAGGAGTAAATAATACATATGTTGACCCAAGTGTATGGTCAATTGAGCAATAAATATTTTTCTACTTTTTGCCTGTTAGTGAGTCAGCAGTGGGGAGGTGGTGGCAGGCCAAATTCAGGAATCATATTTGTGATGGTTGGCTTTAGGTGTCAACTTAATACTGCCTATATTAACTGAGAAGAGTCTCAGTTACAGTTGTGGGGTTGTGTATATTGGGTTGGCCTGTGAGCATGACTGTTGGTATTGTCTTTATTAAGTTAATAGATGTGGGAAGATCCAAACCACAGTGGGCAGCAGCATTCCCCAGGCAAAGGGTCCGGAATTATATAAAAGTGGAGAGATCAAGCTGAGTACAAGCAAGCAGCCCGCCATCCGTCCACGACTCAAATCTCTCTGCTCTGAACTGTAGATGTGCTGTGACGAACTGCTTCAACCTCCCGCCACTGTAACTTCCCCACAATGATGTCTAATAATCTGGAATTTTGAAATAAACTAAGTACTTTCTTTCCTAAGTAGCTTGTTAGTAAGATATTTTAGCAACAGAAACTAAACTAGAACAATAGTCAAAGAAAGCTCTCCAAATTACCAGTTGGCTGGAGGTCCTTTGGCACAACCCAGAAAATCTCATCGGTAGGTAAGGAGAAGTCATCAAGTGCTGCTCTCTGGCAGCCATGACCCCTTAGTGTGCGGCACCCCTGAGCAGCAGACAGCAGACAAGTAGAACAGGCAGCGAATGACCGCCGCTTCCATTACAGTGTTTGTGCGGGGCCTTGCACATTGAGCCCTTCACACCTGGTGGTCCTACACCTCTTAAACCTTTGGCCCCAAAGACCTGATAGTGGACTGGACCAGTGGTTCTTCCTGGGTTCATGCTGGGACTCCAAATGGGGAGACCAGGGATGAGAAAGGAAGACTTACACACTAGGGTCAGGAGGGATGCAGTGCTGATCACCCAAGCCATCACATTTATTAGTGTCCTCAGATGGGGGAGCAAACAATAAATTAGTAAAGTTCATCAGACAGCAGAATTACTGGGAACCTCTGGTTCCTCTTTGCAGGGTACATACTGATACTGTAAGCAGGGCATTTCACATCTGTGTCTAGAACATTTGGCCACCCCTTTATGGTGAAACTGTCAAGCCCCAGGCCCAGGCCTTAGACCCCCCCAGAACCCTGGGATGGG